GTAGTTGTTACACTTGCCAACAATAGCGGCGACGTCGAATATCGCTTGCGAAGCATCGGTGTGATCAGTGCCTTTAATAGGGCGCAGCGTAGCTCGCGTTTTAATTGTTACAAATCTCAAGACAGAAGGAAGCGATGCTTATCTCTGTAGCCACTCGAAGGGGGTAAGGTTAGCAAACCGGAGAGCTAAAACCGTGTGGGTAAGTAGCCTTTTTAGTATAGCCAAAGTAAGTTAGTGCCTGCTGTTTAGGCCGTCCCCAAAGCGGAGTGGGAAAGACGAGAGTGCGATGCTTACATCAGCTTTGAAGGGAATGGCAGGGAAACGAGTGGTTACCCTGTTAGCCGTATTCTTTACGTGTTGTCAGATTATAGTAGGTGAAGAAACCCTTTACCGCATTCAGCCCCGACAAAACCTATGGGTTACCTGGGCGAACAAAACGGGCCAATCAGCGTTTTCTCTGTCTCTTGCTTCCCCAACAGAACCTTTTCGCACCTGTCTAATAGGGGTACCTAGCTACAATGTTACTCATTTTGCTAATTATAGTGCAGGCAGATGTACAAAGGAGATTCAGGTGAGTAGTTGCAGTGCCAAACTAAGTCCATCCACAAGCAATTACAATGGCTCGAACAACACGCCAATCAAATACAACAAAACCAGGGATTTTTTTGATGGGTCGCTCACCTCGCTCTTCGGTAATCTGCCCGCTTGGCTTAAGAGTTTAATTGTAGAAATTTTGCGCATATGTAACGTGTTACTTGCTGCTGGAATTATGATATGTATTTGCTTTAGCTGTCTTAAAAAGGCTCTCTCCAAGATGACGAAGCATACCTGGCTTGCTAAAAAACAAGAAGGGGGAATTGTGGAGTCCTGGCTGGACGAGAGGTGACATAGCTTGGTGCCGTTGAGCAATCCAGGTTCCGATCCAGAGGTGAGCCTTGAGAGCGGCGAGCACAGAACCCTGTTGGGAAGGTAGAGCGATGAGCTCTGGACACTGGAGCAGGGGGACCGTCATGTCGCCATTTCCTGCTGCACTGTCACTTCCTGCCACACTGTCGTTTCCTGCCACAGCACTGCTTCCGCATCGAGATGGAGCTCTGCACCAACCAAAACGAGTTGCAGTAGTTTTGCCTATATATGGTTAGGGGTCTAACCAATCAGATGCTGTAATTGCTTTGCTATATAAACCTCGTTTTGCTGACTAATAAATGTTGAACGATCAATACTCATATTGGGGTGACATCGTTACAACAGATCCATAACCCACGCCAACAGAGTTTTATAATTTTCAATAATTTAGGTGTGCTGGTCCTGGGAGTAGGAAATGCTAAAAAAAGATGTGGGATCAAGGTGGGTTATACAGTACCATGTTACTTCAGTGAATATAACCTAGTCAAATAAACTTTTTCCCCTTTTTCATACCACACAAATCAAAGGAAACACGAATCAGTCATGTGAATGTAAATAAATTAGAGATGCTTCTCAAAAGCAAGCTCAGAGCATGAGATTTTCTTAGAGATCTGACTCAGTATGTTGCGTACCTAAATCAACAGATATCACCTGCATCCATTTGGGATTCAGGACTAAATTTTTGTTCTTGAATCTGTGCCTAAATCAGGTTAATTGCCCTTCTCAAGTGCAGGAGAAAGCTCCTGACATTAATTACAGATAAGTCCTCTAACCTCTGGGATATAAAGGGAAAGACTTGGGCTGAAATTGTCTCCTAAGCAAATCCTTATTTATTAAGAGCAAGATCTTAGAGACAAGGCTATAGGGGATTTCGGAATAGATTTCTCGTATTCATCTTGTGAAGTTTTGGATTTTTTTCTCATGAGTGGAATATCTTTAATTATTTCTGAAATAGGCAGTTATCTAGGTGTCTGACTAGTTTTCTTTTTCATGTGAATGGTATAGCCAGTGAGTGACAGCCTCTCTTACTGTAGCCAAATGAATATTGTAATATTCCATGAAAAATGAAAGAGTTTTATCAGACAAAAATATAAGTCTTAAGTTAGGATAATTTCTGTCTGCTGCTTGACTTGATTTAAGTTGCATCACATAAATGAATGTCTTAAAAGTCTCCAGTCTCCTACAGGCCAAGTGATAGTTGTCACGTCAAATATGATGGCCTACTCTTTGCTGACCTTTCAGCTGAACTAAAACTAGTTATTTCATGTCCTTTCAGTTATGTCTCTCAACATGAGATGTGGAGCCCTGGCTGGACGAGAGGGGACATAGCTTGGTGCCGTTGAGCAATCCAGGTTCCGATCCAGAGGTGAGCCTTGAGAGCGGCGAACACAGAACCCTGTTGGGAAGGTAGAGCGATGAGCTCTGGACACTGGAGCAGGGGGACCGTCACGTCGCCGTTTCCTGCTGCACTGTCACTTCCTGCCACACTGTCATTTCCTGCCACAGCCCGGCTTCCGCATCGAGATGCAGCTCTGCACCAATCACAACGAGTTGCAGTAGTTTTGCCCATATATTGTTAGGGGTCTAACCAATCAGATGCTGTAATTGCTTTGCTATATAAACCTTGTTTTGCTGACTAATAAAGGTTGAACGATCAATACTCATATTGGGGTGACATCGTTACAACGGATCCGTAACCCACGCCAACAATGAGATAAGGAAAGTAGGTAATTCATGGATATCATTGATGATTAACCAGAAGATAAAAACAAATGTGATTCATTTAAGGCTTAGTGCAGCAAAAACTGCTATGAGAATTTACAAGCAGAAATGTAGGTTTCATAGAATGATAGAAAGTTTTGGGTTGGAAGGGACCCCTAGAGGTCATCTAGTCCAACCCCCCCACGGCGAGCAGGGACACCGCTAACTAGATCAGGTTGCTCAGAGCCCTGTCCAACCTGGTCTTGAATGTTTCCAGGGATGGGGCCTCCACTACCTCTCTGGGCAACCCGTTCCAGTGTTTCACAACCCTCATTGTAAAGAATTTCTTCCTTATATCCAGCCTAAACCTACCCTGTTTTAGTTTAAAACCATTACCCCTCGTCCTGTCACTGCTGTCTCTACTAAAAAGATTGTCCCCATCTTTCCTATAGGCTCCCTTTAAGTACTGAAATGCTGCAATCAGGTCTCCCCGCAGCCTTCTCTTCTCCAGGCTGAACAAGCCCAACTCTCTCAGCCTGTCCTCATAGGAGAGGTGCTCCAGCCCTTGGATCATTTTTGTAGCCCTCCTTTGGACCCGCTCCAACAGTTCCATGTCCTTCTTGTGCTGAGGGCTCCAGAGCTGAACGCGGTACTCCAGGTGAGGTCTCACCAGAGCAGAGTAGAGGGGCAGAATCACCTCTCTCAACCTGCTGGTCACGCTTCTCTTGACGCAGCCCAGGACATGGTTGGCCCTCTGGGCTGCCAGAGCACATTGCTGGCTCATGTCCAGCCTTTCGTCTATCAGTATCCCCAAGTCCCTCTCGGCAGGGCTGCTCTCGATCCTTTCATCCCCCAGCCTGTATTGATAGCGGGGATTACCCCGACCCAGGTGTAGGACCTTGCACTTGGCCTTGTTGAACCTCATGAGGTTCACACAAGCCCACCTCTCCAGTTTGTCCAGGTTCCTCTGGATGGTATCCTGTCCTTCTGGTGTCTCAACCATACCATTCAGCTTGGTGTCATCTGCAAACTTGCTGAGGGTACA